GTGATGAAACCAGGCGCTCGTCAAAATAATGAAATTGAAGAAATGTATTTTTGCCCTTTGAACCCCCTTTATCTAGATCTAGATCTAGATCTATTAAAAAATCGTTTGCCTGCTTTCACGGTGAGTTGATAATATTCATGATCTTCTCCTCCTAGTTCAATGTAGTTAACTAGGAAAAATCCACTTAATTTCATAGTGGAACCTTTGGGACATTTTGAAGAGAATCATTAATTGCTAAATTGATTTTAACAACATGTAGATCTAGATCTAGATCGCCTATCATGTAAAGTTTTCAGAAGAAGAGGCATCAGTTTGTTTGGTGCACAACCAACCATGCCAACCAACGAGTTGGCGCACACGAGACGAGGCTAGGCTAGCCTTGGCCAGGCGACTGGGCCTATTTGGTACATGTAGTAGCCTAGGCTAGACGGCGGGTTTTTCTTACGGGATGGCGGGTAATCTGGCAAGAAGCAGACGTCCAATTCCCGGCCAAACGCAAGGCCTTGGCTGACAAAAAGGGTGGATTCGGATCATCGGATGACAAGCGAACAGGCATAGATCTAGCCTAGCTCTACTCTATAGCCACAGGTTGGTATTTCGTGATATCAGGAAAGAATTTCTCAATAACTTTTGATGGACAGAACCTTTAAGGCAAGGTTTATGTTCTTTCACTTTCGAGATGACGGAACCGAAACGTGATTGACGAACAATTGACGAACTTTAAAATGTTATTGACTGACTAATTGGTTGGAATTGGAGTGAAGTGAAAGTTGGCAACGTGATCGCTTGCTCATTCACTCTACCTTTTAGATCCAATAAATCTAGACCTAGCTAGATATCTAGATATAGATCTATATATCTAGATCTAGATCTAGATCTAGATGTAGATCTGCATCTAGATCTAGATTCTAGATATAAATCTAGATCTCTAGAATCTAAAACATTTGCTTACTTTTGGAAATATTATGTAGACTAGATCTAGATCTAGATCTAGATTCAAGGTTAGATTCTAAGTATTACCCCCACCCCTGGCCGTTGGAATGGATGATGAGTAAATGGATTTCTCAGCATTTTTGCAATTTTTGGACTTGTTTTTAGCTGATCAAGACAAATGTTTAACATTTACTTGTCAGGAAACTAGAATCTAGATCTCTAGACTCTAGATTAGATAAGACTAGATTCAAAGAGATCTAGATCTAGATCTGGAGTCTGGAGTCTAGATTCTAGATCACATAGATTTCTAGATTAGTTCGGCCCTAGAAGGCCAGCTAAATCTAGATTCTAGATCTAGAGATCTATAGTAGGCCTATAGCCTTGCCTTTGGAACATTTATTATCACCACATGATTAGATTCTAGATCAAGATCTAGATCTAGATCTAGAATCTAGTAGATATCTGGATCTTTTTATTATATTGCTTGACCGTATAACTTTTTATTGGTAAAAGGAAGCCTTGGTAAAATCCTGGTGAGGTTCTAATGTCTAATAATGTAAAATTATTGTGGTAGGCCTACCTAGCTTTTTAACAAGTAGATCTAGATATCTAGACTCTCTAATTTAATTTAGGCTCGTTTATTTTATGCTTGGCTTATAAGAGTCAGTAAATTTTTACTTTCACTTTCACTCCCACACACAGATGCACTGCCTCGGGGTCAAATTGCTTCAGATCACACATTATAAAGTAGGCTAATAAAGCCACTAAAACTGGCGCAAATCAAATATTTTCAAGAAAATGACAGACCTTACTGCAAAATATCAAATTATGGGTCAAAATGGGGTGGGGGGGGGGGGGGGGGGGCTTTTGACCTGAGCAGTTTTTTTCCTTCAAGTTGTGTCTCCAAAGACCAAGTTTTATAAATTTTCTTTTACTTGTATGTAATATTCAATCTATATGTATTTGTAGGAATTTTACCATTTAAGGAAATCATCATGCGCTTTCTTTCTCCCATGTTTGTTTCAGAATCAGATTTCTGGAGTAAAAATGACCTCAGAAGTTCAAGACACTGTTGACGAGAGCCGAGCTTGTGCAGCAGAAAGCAGTTTGCACAGATGGCCAAGGCGTATCGATGAAAATAACACTTTGTGGATACCTATTCATTCTGTAAATCCGCATTTGATATGTGGCCTTTGCCAGGGATATTTGTATGAAGCATGCACCATAACAGAATGCATGCATTCATGTAAGTAGTTAAGATTTTAAATTTTGCAAACCATTTGCTATGATTTTTTATGAACCAGTAGCCTGTAGCTAAGTCTTTTTTACATTTGAACTACATTTTATAATTTTTTCTTGCCTTTTTCAACATTGATTTTAAGAAAATTTGGATTTTGACAAAAATATTTTTTAGTTTTTTAACACAACTGATACCGGTACCATAAATTAAGAAACTGCAATTTTTTTTTTAATTAAAAAAATTGGGGTGTTGTACATTTTAACGTCTGGCCAACAATATGAGATCAATTAGGTTATATAGCCAACAGATGTAATGTTCACTCTTCCGTAGAGATGGATGACCACCAAATGGATTGAAAGCAAGCTAAGAGGATGTGAAAGGAGATGTTTTTAAAGGATACTTGGCATATCTGAGGAAGAAAAAAACCTTCAAAAAGTGAAATCTGCTGCAACAATCATTGCTATTTGAACAATCTCTCTAAACTGAAGAAAAACTGGCGGTCCTGTTGGTTTTGGTTTAAGCAGACTCCACTCTGTAGTTACCAACAAGGAGGTAGCCAACTGCTCCAGAGTATAGAAGACTCCAACTCGGAAGAATTGAAGAGAAGATGATCGAGATGACTTTTTCACATTCTCTGTATTGACTGGTTTAGACATCCTAAATAGCACTGACTTGGACCCCAAAAGAGAAGGAAAAGGGGAAAACTAAAGAACCAAGTGGAGAACTATACAAACAAGCGCTTCCCACATCCCTTAGACCTCAGCTGTCCAAGACGACCACTTTTCTCCTCGACAAAGGATGGCCATCTTTAACAATTTTGACTGTATACATGCTTAGCAACTTTCTAATGAATATAATATGTATTTTTGTTTTTTTAACGGAACTGATTTTTTAGGAAAGCCAGAGAGGTTTTTGTAACAAAACTAGATAGATAACGGACATATTTTTTTTTCCCAGATGAATTTTGCGATGTAAAATGTGAAGTTCCAAAGGGAAAATATGTTAAGAAAAGTAGTCTCTTTTCGAAATCTGTTGTCAATCTGATGATTTTTTAATACTGTTTTGTGCAAGCACTCACTCTCTGTCATGAAGTCAAGTTGCACGTTGGTTAGTATTTTTTCAGTTTAGTCTTACATAACAATACATCACACCCAGTGACTAGAGGCATAGATTATTTAGGCCGAATTTTTTTTTATATCTCTGTCTCTCTATCATGTTCCTCAGTCATGTAATAAATGAATTTTCAAAACAATATTTAATATATATTGATATGTAGATCTAGTAGTAGAACTTAGTGATTATGTGATAGTCATGCCTGTTTTGTAAACTATTCATTACAAAATGTTAAATTTTATGAATAAAGCGTTCCATTCTTTTTTATTGCAGTTTGCAAGAACTGTATTGTAAAGCATCTGGAAAGAAGCTTGAATTGTCCAATGTGTGCAATACTCATACATCCAACAGATCCTTTTGTACACATCAGGTAGGTCAATATTTGATATTATATTATACACAGTTGAACCTGCTCTAATAACCACTTACTGACTACATTTACCTGTACAAATGACCACTTCTCCCACTGCGTTTCTTTTTTTCTTCTTTTTGGTTTAATATACAGTGGAATCCTGTTATAACAAGAGGGATGGAACTGGTGCGGGATGTCCGATATAGCAGGATTCTCGTTATAAGGGATCCAGTAATAAATTCAAGGAAAATAGTAAAGTACGCCTAATCTATGAGTTTGGTGTTCTGTTTATTTCTTTTTGTTATCTCCCCTGATTATAGCTTTGTTCAACATGACCTCTAGGTCTTACTTGATCAAAAATCAAATGAGGTTTCTTTCTCTAGTGCTAGCGATGTTGACAGCTCGGCATTGGCGATCAGAATAAAAGTTCTCTAGGCTAACTTGCCCGCTGTGTTGTCCCCCACCCTGCCACACCCTGTGGTACGTTCCCGCGTCTGCTTGTGCACGTCACACATTCGCTCCATCCATCACAGCACTGTGGCATCTCCATCCCCGCATCGGAGAAGTGAGACGCATGATAGGCCTAGATAATCTAGACTAGGCTGGCCTATCACTATCAGGCAATGTGTTCTGCTTCACAACGGCTTGTCTGCGCCTGCCACACCCTCCCCACTCATTCGCTCCGGCCTTCTTCTTTGGCACACATGGGCTGTCCCATTCTTTGTTTCGCTAGATCACCAACAAGTTTCTCAACTGGCGAGGTTTTTATGTATAAATGGCCTATGCTCTGTGCACAGCAGCAGCAATATTCCGCTATAACCGACTTGCATGTTTGTCTGATTGCACTATAGCAGTATTTTATTTACAAAGATAAGGAAAAAAAACGGGGTTTTAGAATAATGTCTGTAAAACAGACTTCTCGTTATTTCAGGACTCGTTATAAGTGGACTCCACTGTATTATTGTCATTGTCCAAGATGACTACTTTTCTCCTTGACAGTGGGTGGTCGTCATGGACAGTTTCAACTTTTTATACTCTTTTTTTGTTGTTGTTTGTTTGCAAGTGTTTTACGGCGCTCGAAACTGCTTAAGGTCATATGAGCACATGGGACACGCCAAACATTTTCAATAGGCAGGAAATTTTGAGTTTTGCCCGGATGGCGTCCGAAGCCTACTCTTATCGATTTTGGACCACCAAGGGATCTTTAATGTGCGCAGCTTGCGCACAAGACCTCCGAGATTTTTCGCCCTTGTCCAAGAAGGCTAGGTGTAGATTTTCCTACCAGAAGATCAGGGGTTTGGCTGAAAGGCAGCAGTAAGAAGATGCCAAGGAGTAGCAGAAAGGCAGCAGTAAGAAGATGCCAAGGAGTAGCAGTAGCAAGGCTGCCTAAAGAGTCAAGAGTCCAGTGGAGGGGGCAAAGGAGGTGAGGGGGTGATTTCTGAATTTTGCAAGAGAGAAGGAAAGAAGACAATTTTAGAGAAGAAAATTTTCTGTGGTTACCAGGATTAGAACCCTGGACCTTTGAATAAGAGGGGAACACCTTAACATCGAGGCCACAAGAGCCCCCTTTTTATACTCTGATAGCCTCTGAGGCTATGGTCAGATGTTCTGTTTTGGTAACGTTACAGGCATTTGCTCCATTCAATAGTTTTTGTGACCATTATACACAGTATACAGGGGAAACCATATGACAGGCCCGGTAATAACAGGGGACCGGTAATAACAGGGATTGTTTTTTTAAATCCCCGTTTTTTCCTACTCGTTGTCTCTATTACAAGTTATGGGCAATAACAGGGCCTCATTGGAGCCCAATCGGTTATAGCAGGAACAAAGGCTCGTTAACTGTGTAAAAAGTGAGTGAGAGAGAGAGAGAAACGCAGTGATGGAGCAAGCCCACCCAACCACGGCACTGCAAGCACACGCAGCGGGTGAAGCGACAGAGGGCTGCGGTGTGCTGCAGATTTCGATCTAGCCCTAAGCATAGCTACACTCAGGCGTAATGTGTCAAGCTCAGACCTGCTGTGGCAAGGGAAACTACTCACGAATAAATACAGCTGGATTAGTCCGTAAATGATTACTTCCCATGCATTTCTAATTTAACAGGGATCGTAAACAACAGGACTTTTTCTCTGGTCCCATCAATTATCCCTGTTATCAGAGCTGGTTGTAACGGAGTACAAGTACTCCGGTACTTGTACTTACGTTACAATTTTCGGTACTTTTACTGTACTCCGGTACATTTTGAGAACCAGTACTTTTACTGTACTCCGATACTTTTTATAAAAGTACTTTTGAGTACTTTTCAAGTACATTTTGAGTACTTTTGAAGCTTAATGAAAGAATAAGTGCCGCCATTTCCGATCATAATTTACGGAACAAACACCCGGGCGGGCACAGCCGACCAACCAAGAGTTAAAAGTTGAGATTAAAGAACTGCCCGTTGCGTCAAAGATCAGCCACTCTTGTGAAAGTGATCACATGCGCTGTAAAACTCCATGAAACGGTACAATGATCCTCAGACGGGATCACACCGAGGTGTGAACTGACCGATGGGCGTTTCTTTTCCCCAAACATCGCACTCGCATCTGAGCTCGCCACCTGAACTTTCATCCCTCGCTGGGTGGGTTGGGCCTACAAGTTCGCTCCAGGCAGGATCACATCGAACTGTGAACTCTTCCCAGACCATTGAAGTTGAAGGCAGTTTTTCTCTATTCCCGAATTTGAGAGACAGCCTGAATTTTAATTGGTGTGGTCACAGCGTAATGGTACGTAACGACAAAGGCGGGGGGGGGACTCAATCAGAGATGGAAGGCTACAATTTTTGGACAGGTAAAGGGGAGGGGCAACTGGATAAACGTAGATAAAGATCTCGAGACGATATGCTAATGGGTGTACGGTATAATATTATGGCTTGCCTCATGCCACCATGCTACTGTGATTGGTCATCAAGGATGACCACTCTTTGCTCGTCATATGTCATAAACCTACCCAGGGGTCACGTCAGTTCTTGGGTCACAGTAGATTCTTCCTTAGCTTCATCGGCTAAGATCCCATATTTCCCTTGCTCCCGAGCACTGGGATCTTAGGCGGAGACTACTGTAGTAGAGAATTTTTGGTTACACTACACTTACTAGACTCTAGGAAATTACATGTAGGCCTATTTTGGTTTGCCGTGGGCGCCGTGGACTACACCGTGTGACCAAACTCTGTCTTACCACTACTATAATCAATTGAAACTGAAACTGAGTTCTCAATGTATATCAATCTAACAATTTTTTAGGCTACCTAAATTTCTTTTTTCCTTTTTTTTGTGGTTTGTGCTTAAAGCTACCTTGATTCCTTGAGGATTTGTTAAAGAAGAATTCAAAGCACTTTTTTTTGCTGGCCATTTTCATCAATTTTTTATTTTCTTAGATCTACATTTTCCAATTTTGATACTTTTCCTACTTTCCGACCTCTAGGACTGACTTACATAATTTGATCATATTGTCTAGCTCAAACAAATTCTATTCATAATATCACTTACTCACTAGTTGCGTCTGTTTGTTTGCTGGGTTTTTTTTTTCAATTTCACGGACAATTTCCACCTACGTTCAGTGCGTATATTCAAATGCTTTATATACTGTTTACATTATTAGTAATAAATGGCCGATTTTGTCAAATATACTAGATATGTTATTCAATATGATGTTTTGCATTAGCACTGAAGTGTTTTAGCATATTAGCAGAAAGTACTCAAAATGTACTCATAAGTACTTTTTTAAAAAGTACTTGTATTCAAGTACATTTTACAGGAAAGTACTTTTACTGTACTTAAGTACATATTTTAGATTGTACTTAAATTTGTACTTAAGTACCTTTTTAAAAGTACTTTAACAGCTCTGCCTGTTATATCAGGTTTCCACTGCATAGATTCCCAAGATTAAATGCAAGTATAGGGTGATGGTGCTTGCCCCTCATCCCAAAGCACACTCAAATCAAATTTTTTAAGTGTCTTTTGGCTTTGTCAGAAGAAACCCTTTGTTTTTGGTCAGATCAAATTTTAAACCTTTTAGTTGAGATGGAGTCCCGTCTTTTTTTTTAGAATGTAAGGATGGAACACTCAAGGTCCAGTCTATAGTTATATATATCCATACATTTTAGACACTTCCGTGGTTTAGAATAAGAAAAGAACAGGCCAACTACACTTGCGAAACTTGAAAAATATAACTCTTCTTTCAAAAAGTGAGGGTACTTGCTTATACAGTGGAACTCGAATTCAACAAGATGAGATAGTTTCCCGTTTTTTCTTCTTCTTTAAAATCAATAAGAATGACCCGGAGCACTTAAAAGCGAGCTTGGATTCAACGAGGTCGCTTCCAGGGTGAACAGACCCCGCAGACGTGGCTTCGCTCATTTTTCTCCCAGAACAAACTTGATCTATTCCCGGAAACCATCCAATTGCACCTGCATCGTGAACCATTATTCACTTAGCCGATTGCATGCGACCAATCAGTGGCCTTTTTTCATACCAACACATGCGTTGTTGACACGCGCACGTGTCTACTTTGGCGTGTGTCGGGGTCGGATGGGCGGCTTGCACACATGTGGCTGTGTGTGTGGGGGGAGGGAAGCGGGGGGTACCAGTGGTCCGGGTGTGGAAGGTCGCAGAGATCGCAAACACGTCAGTCTTTTTTTTCCCCTCGGCAACTGATCACTATTACAATGATAAGCTAGTCTTGACGTAGATCTACATGATGAATTGTGTGCTGGTCTATGGAATCAAAGGTTGCCGTATGCAAGAACACAACTTTTTAGTAAACAATTTAGATGACTCAGGCGTGTGCATTTGAACGAATCGTGTCTTTTTTTACTCAGCTCATAATATGCAGGCACTTCAGGCACTACTTGTGACTTTTCTTTGTACATTACTTGCTCAGTGTCTGTAATTATCTTCACAAAACCTCATGTTTTCTATAACGAACACTCAGATTCAACGAAATTTTAGGTCAGGCCCGGCGACCTCGTTGAATCCGAGTTCCACTGTATGGCGTGGGTGGCTTAGTGGTTAAGCTCTCGGACTCGCAACCGTAAGATCATGGGTTCAAATCCAGTCAGGGACCTGACGTTGTGTCCTTGGGAAAGGCATCAGACATGAACTTTCTTCACTTCATCCTGTTTGGAATGAGCCTAAAGACAGTGAATGGTCTTCTGAGTTTGTTAGTGATAGTGTCTGCGGGCTTAATTACTGAATTAGTTGCTTACACTGTATGCTTCCCTGGAAGCCGAGAATGCTCCTGATTGTTCTAGGGTTTGTGGGGTAATAATACAGTGTAAAGCGCATAGAGCTTGCTTTGAGCAGGGATATAAATTAAGTTATTATTAATATTACATACAATACACAGAGATACATTTTGATCATCTTCATATGAATTGTCAAATTGGAAACAGACATTGTTGATCACAGTTTGACCCTCATTTCTCTGCTCGGATCCTCTCAAATAACATTTATTATCCTGTCTTTCCCAAGATAAATATATATATACTCAGTAACAAGAGAATAAAAGTTTGGGCAGTGCCTCAGTAGCCCATTGTAATCATTAGATACAAGAACACAGGAAGCATAAAGAAAGATTTGAATTCAGGTGTTAAACATTAATTTTTCATGCAGAAGGTCCAAGGAAGTGATTTTCTAATCAAGATGGGGACAAACTCGAGATTGATCCTACTGAGATATTTTGGGCCCGGTGTCATAAAAAGGGTCTGGTACTTGATAGACGTGACATTTAAGTAAATGTAAGTCACGTTTAATGAACATCGGTTGATACTGAAATCTGTTTAATGCATTTTTTTGGCCAGGTATTATATACTTCAACATGAACTTTTTCTTCGTCCTGCAAATAGGTTTCCCATTGTTCATAAAACAGTGAAACTAAGATTCAGAATTTTATCTTTTGGGTTATTTGTAATGTTCTTTTTTTTATTTACAGGTTAGATGGCTTATTACAAGACATTGTGTATGCTCTTCTGCCCCATGTTGAAAAAGGTAAGTGCTTTATTATTTTTTTTGTAAAGGAGAGAGCAATATTTTTCGCGATTGTGCTATTTCAAAAAACACTTTAAAATTTCTGTGGGTCAGAACTAATTATTTAGTTTTGTGTTTTGTGTACAGGTGTCATTGTTTAAGAGTAAAACGTTTGAAGTGCTCAAAGATTTTGTTATCCTTTTCATTTTTGTTTCAACATGCAGGTGCTTTCTGCCACTATAGTTTTTATATGTACAATCAGCTAACGGTCTTACAAAAGAAGCCAGAGTAGCTTGCTGTATGTTTTACCCCTAACATTTTTGGTGGTTGTGTTCCGCGCTATTTAAGATCTTGTACAATTTTATCATTATTGTGAGCTCTTCAGTTTCATTATCATACATTATGTTAATTTTAATGTTCATATTTTTACACTTACACTTTTGATACCTAGCTTTGTATCATTCTTGTGAGCTCTTCGGATTCATACATTAATTTTAATTTTCACATTTGTACACTTTTGAAAATATATGTGAATATTCCTTGATGTGAGTAAAAGAATAAAGATGGAAGTGAATGAAAAAAAAACCTATTAAAAAAATATAAAATATTAACAGAATTTTCAGATTGACGCGCAAGTATATGATCGTTAAAACATGCGCGCCGATTGGTAAATTTCGCGGAACAGCTGTACTAACGTATTGCTACTATCCAAGCTATTAAAAAAATGTTCTGTTCTTTTATCTGCACTCATGATCTTATTTCATTCTTGTCTACAGAGGAGTTAGAGAGAGAGAGACTGTTCTACGAGAAGCATGGAGACAGTTTAGGTATGCAGCAGAAAACTTTTCCTAACATTTCAAAACATGAGATTTTCTGATGAAGTGAATTAGTATATGATATTATAAATATAACTCTAGTCATAAATTAATTCATTGTAAATATCTATTATATTTTAAAAAAGGAAATGTATGTACTTTTCCACCCCCTTGATATAAGATCATGTTGGAGGGGGTTTTCAACCCTGCCTGTCAAGGCCTACGGCGCTGGGAGGGATTCAACATCTCAGTAGAAAGACGAAGATGCTCGATAAAAATGCTTCCCTCACAGACTCACAGCAATCCAACTTGGGTGGTCTCCTGCATGTAACAGCGATGCACGTAATCTCTACACTGCAGATACCAGTATTGTAACAAGTTTTATCAGGCGTTTAGAATGCTTTTTTTTTCTATCTTGTATATGTGCCAAACTGGTATGCTTGATACACAGTTTTGTTTCTTTCACTGTTTCTCTTTAGATATTGTCAACTCTTTGAGATGGCCTCCAATTTACTTGTTTGTAATAATTATTATTATTTTATCTAACCCTTTATTTCAAAGATTGCTCTTATTCATTTTTAAAAAGTTAGTGCTGTTAGAATGAGAATTTAGTCAAAGACAAGAAAGAATATTTAGTCAAAGACAAGAAAGAATATTTAGTCAAAGACAAGAAAGAATATTCGGGGAAAGGCATTTAAGAAGCTTTAATGGCAATGACTACTGTTGCTGGTATGAAGATTGCTGACAGATTGTTTTTGATATTGTTAGAAGTGCTCTTTCTTCAAGGATATAATGTAGTATTTGACAGGGATAGAGATGATGTTTACAGAAATGTAGTTTTCGTTATCAGTTTTTCCCCAATCCTCTTCCACTTAACACAATAGTCTCCTTTGGTTTACTTTACCAACAGTATCTGTAAAGAAAAAAGCAAATGGTTTTGTATAGAAGTTTCAATAAGAAGCAAGTAGACTGCTCAGTGCCTTGATCATTCTCAAATGGAGCATAGATTGTCGATCAATCTTGAAGATTTAAAATTGCAGTATAAATGTTGTGATCTAAAAGAAAGGATTCATACCAATATCATGGTCTGGAGTGAACTGTTATGATTACTCTGTAAACTTGAATTCCAGTTTTTGTTGCCATGAAGTTTTCAGGGGTTTGGGAATATCAAGAGTTTGATGATTTTCAGAACTTGAAAGCCTTCGCATTATGTTGCCATATATGTGAATTGTTTCGCAAAAAAAATGTTGAATTAATTTATCAAATTATCATTTATATTATATGTACAGTAGTCTCCGCCTAAGATCCCGGTGCTCGGGAGCAAAGAAATGCGGGATCTTAGGCGAACCGGGATCTTAACCGACAATCCCAGGGAAGAATCTGTGGGGACCAATGTTAAGGCTTACAATCAGTAAAATGGTCTCCCTCCACCCTAAAATGAACTGACGTGACCCCTTGGTTGGTTTGTGACGTATGGAGAGCAATGAGTGGTTAACCTTGATGGCCTATCACAGTGCATAGTGCCATGAAGCGTACCATTTTCACGTATTATCCTATCATGAGTCTCAAGATCTACGCTTATTCAGTTGCCCCTCCCCCTTACCTGTAGAAAATTTATAGCTTTCCATCTCAGACTGAGCTAACCCCCTCCCCAAACGCCTTTGTCGTTACACACCATTACGTCGTGAACACACCAATTAAAATTCAGTCTGTCTAGCAAATTCGGGCTTAGAGACAACTGCTGCATTCAACGCCTACTGCAATGGTCAGGGAAGAGTTCACGGTGCGAGGTGATCCCGCCTGGAACGAACGTGTAGGCCCTTTCCACCCAGCGAGTGATGTAAGTTTAGGGGGGGAGCTCAGGTGTGAGTGTGATGCGTGGGGAAAAGAAACGCGTCGGTCAGTTCACACCCCGGTGTGATCCCGTCGGGGGCAAACATTGTATCGCTTCATCCAGTTTTACAGCGTGTATGTGATCACATTCACGATTGTGGCTGATCTTTGACGCGACGGACAGTTTATTGATCTCAACTTTTCACTCTTGGTTGATCGGCTGTGCCCGCCCGCGTTTTTGTTCCGCAAATTATGATTTGAAATGCAGGATGGATCTTAGCCGAATGTAGACCTTCAGAGTGAATCAGAGCGGGATCTTAGGGGTGACTTTTGTATAGCAAAAATTCTGTTTTCTTAAAACAGCGGAATCTTAAGCGAACCGGGATCGTAAGCGGTGGGATCTTAGGCGGAGACTACTGTATAATACTTTGTTTTATGTACATGCATGTCGATTAATTTTTAAGATGTGATGTCTTTTTCGTTGTAATGTGCATTGAGTATTTTTTTAGAAAATGGAAATGCGCAGTATAAATGCAATTTATTATTATTATTATTATTTGCTGATTGTACAAAAATGTTTAATGTTTGTTTACCTATGTTTTGAGGGCAAATTAATTTGAATGTATGAAATTTTCTTGATAGGATACCCTGAACAGAAAAAAGAGAAATCAGCTTCAGTTCCATATGCTCATCCTGGTTATCCGCTGTCGCTGTCTAAATCTCACCCTCACTCTACCTGCCCACTGCCCAGCACACATACTTCTCACAGATCTGGCTATGTATCTCCAGTTTCACTGTGCTTGCAGTGCTTGAAGTAAGTATTGAACTTGCAGAATAATTGTGGAAATCATATCGTCTTGATAAGGTGCAATATTATATTATGTTCCAGTCTCCTATATACTGTATGTAAGATAGAATGAACATTTTAAGTTCAAGATTGTTTCGTTTGGACTTTGAGAGTTTGAAGGAAGTTACCAGGTGGCTCCAGTAAATCTTTACCCTTTGAAATATCTGATAACACTGTCAAAAGAAACATGAGAATCTGTTTACTGTGTCCAATAATTTATTACAATTTCTCAGAAGACAAGAGTCGAAACTTTGTATTTCTTGGTAATAGTTGAAAGGCGCATTATGATTAGGTGTAAGAATGGAACAGTGAACACCCTTGTTTTGGTTGTTATGTCACCCATTTTTGTTAAGTTTATTTTGAGCTACAGAGGAGAGCATGTCTGATTTGCTGAGCTACAAAAGCACAGTGTAAAACACCTGTTCATATGGTAATGGAAAAATAATTATTCTTTCAAGAAACAGACAATTTTTTTTTCATGTTATACTGAACTTTTAATTTAGAAGTGAATTTAAGGCTAAGAGGTATTTTATTGTGTGATTTGAAAATTCCCATGTTTCCGTTATATCAGCTAGTGATGTTTTCTATATGAGTCATCAGGCTGTGATAGAATGGAAATATTTCTTTTTTGAGTCCAAAGATTTAATTGGCTTTCTTTTTTTTTTCTTTTCAGTTCAGAAGTGCAACAGAAACTGGTAAGTTTTGTTTCCCAGTTTCACTGTTCAAATAGGTGTTGTTTGGTACTTATTTGCTTTGTGGAGATGCTAGTGCTGCCATCATTTTTAAAAGTACAGTATATATGCAGTTTTTACAGTTTGAATAGCTTAAATACCCCTTTCAACTCTGAATGTTTTGGGGCGGGGGGGCTCTGAATTTACCGTTCATCCGGCCCTCCGAATTTACCGTTCATCCGCGCAATAGGACTGAACCAAATGGCGGTGGAAAACATCTAAAACTCCCCCAAACAACCTAGGTTCAAAAGACTCCATTGGGGATTCAAATCAGGGCCGCCCACTTTGTTGTCTAGCATGATACCGTGGTAACGACTTGCATTTGGTTTTTTTGTTTGTATGGGGGGATGACATGTTGCTTAAATTTTTTCGCATTTCATATTACAGGGCAAGCAATATGTACGAGTCACAGGAGGGGCAACAGTGCGAAGTCTCTCAGTGTTCTTAAAGAAAAAACTTCAAGTTGAAGACACCCATAATGTAAGTGAAAGTCTTGTCCTTCAGATATTTTTCTGTTTCAGCCTAATTATTTTTTAGGCTATAATCTTTGATAATCATCTTTAATACACTGCTTTGATTCTTGAGTGGAGCAGGGTAATAGTTTGGGATTGTTTTTGTATAGAATAACTCAGATTACCCTTTTTACTTTTGGGGTTTTCTGTAGAAAGTTTCACCAGCAATTCTGCATTTTTCTTAAATTTGTGGTCAAATTCCTGCATATTTAGGCTTCAGAGTTGCAAGGTAATTCACTGGGAAAATGTATTAATTTGGCTGAATATTATAGCAGCAACTTGATGCAGATTTAATACCGGAATATGATTCAGCTTCAAGTGATCATCCTCACAGACTCTCTATTGTGAGTGAACTACCTTTTCTTCACTATCATCATTCAATTGGCCTTTCAGACTTGATGGATGTCTACTTGAAATAATGGGTTGTCTTTTCTCAGAGTTAATTTGACATATATTAATTATATGACATTTTACTCATAGCCCATCGTGGTCATCAATCCCAATAGAAATGCGGTATTTATTTTTAGAACACTGCCTGCAGATGAATCTTATAAGCAGTTATCAGTGTTTATTGTGAATCTGATGTTTAACTTAATGTACCCTCATTAAAAAGACAATGATTTTTAAAAAAAATGTTGTTTCTGTTAATTTTGAGTGTGTGTCTCAAAACTTGTTTGTAAGTGTTAAATACTTTTTTGGTATCATTTCAGATTGAGCTCTACTGCCCTTGTAAGTCTGGCTTTGTGTCTTTAAGTAGTGGCCACACTCTAAAAGCCGTCAAAGATTTGTATTGTTATGATCAGGTAAGCTGTACAATGGGAACATATTTTGGAAAATGAGAAATGTTGTAGGTTTTCCTTCTTTTCCCAAAACTCACAAATGGATTGATAACATTCTTTGGCAATTAAGTCATAATTTTACATTTATCTAAACATTAGTGCATGGACAGACATGAAGCTTCAGTCCTTCATGTTTCTATTTTTCTGTGGGTTTTTTTTTATGTGTGAGAGGACAGGCTGTAAAGAAAATTGCTCTGTATAGCTTTCTATCTAAACGATTTAGGATTATTTGTATTCCCTCACTGTTACTCTCAAACTTAAAACCATGTATATCTCAAGAGACAAGCAAGCAAGTCCTAGGTCTTGACCTTTCATTTCAACATAGTATAATGTGACACGACTAGCTTAGATTAGAAAAAAGATGTGTCAAACTGTTCTTTCTACTGAGCGTGAGAAACTAATTAGAACAAAAAAATGCATTCCTTATTTCTCTTTAGACTCTATTTTTTACCACTCCAACTACATGCACTCCAGACAATATGTAGGAAGTTTCTTTTACTCACGCTTCAGTGGAGGACCTAGAAGTGCCCAAAGACTGAAGGAAAGGTGAAATTGAACATGTTCTCATCAGAGAACTTATTTTTGCAAGTTATGACCCTCTCTGAGGAAGAACCACAGAATCTGATGGATATCTTTTTATCTTTTTTCAAATTATTTTTTTGCTGCATATAAACTGGCAGTAGACAACAGAAAACCATTGCTCTTATCTCCCAAGAACAATTATGAAAAACAAAATTTATTTCTCAAAATTGAGGGCAAACGAGGCAGGGGTAGGCCCAGAGCAACCTTCTTGGAGAACCTAAACAGATGGGTGACTTGGAAAGACCATGGTAATGTAGCTTTTTGAAGAGCATCCGAGCAAAGGAATGAATGGAGAGCCATGATCTCTGATGTCTGCCGCAGATATGGCGTTTGATGATGATTGATGATGATGATATACAGTCTTGCCAGAAATTGCTATTGAAAGTAAAAACTGGATAGTACACCTAAAAACTTTGTCAAGACTTAGATATCAGCACTTGTAAAACTTGCATAAACGTGAACAAAAATATCAAAGAAAGCTTGATGTTAGAAAAGACTCAACATCAAGACCCAAGGTGAAAGTGTACTAAGCATGCATTCTGAGTCCAACTGTTTGTCACCTCAGAACTATTTTGTCCAAAGTTCACGTTTTACAGAGGCAACATGTTGTAGGCGAGTGAGGCCATACTAGTATCTTCATGTCAGGTGAAAAAGTTCAATATGTTTCACATGGGAGATTTCTCTCATATAGGTACTGAAATTCTTGGTAGTGCAGTGTATTTTCACTGCTCGTGCAACACAGGCTCAGATGGATAAACACATACACTACGTGGAAGATGGGAGACTGTAAAAAAAACATCCTCTTATGGATATCTAGGGAATGGAAGGAAGAAACATTTCTGCTGAGATACCAAGATGCCTGCAAGAGTGACATGGTCTCAACTTTAGACCTGTGGAACATGTGAAGAAGAAGGACACATTAATGAAGATGTGTGCCTGTGTGTCCTTATATAACAAAATTAGGGTATAAAAATATAGGGTCAAATTTCACAAGTCAGAATGAGTTGCAATGCTTTGTTAGATAGATACCGTAGAACGTTCTCTAATGTATGTGTAGTATAAGGTTTTACGGCGCTCGCAACTGCTATGGTCATATGAGCGTGCGAAACACAAGTTGTTCACTTTTGCAAAAGTTCACTTCACGACTG